TAGACTTTAAAATTACAACTCTGATGTAATACAATAAATTAATGCAAATATAAGTGATAAAACAAATGGTCACAATGTGTATTGTTCAGATCATCCAATAGGTCTAAAAATAATTTTAAATAAAATATATTTTTTTAAACTTATATTCCTATACACATATATATGTTAGAAATAAATAAATATATATTATATTTTGAAATATATATTAAATACAACAACCATCACTACTACCATTTTCGCCACCACTACTATCACTGTCATCACTATTACCATTGCTGCCACTACCTCCACCACCATCGCCATTGCTACTGCAACTACTAACATTGTGTTAATGTCACCACCACTACTGCAATTATCGCCACCACCACCATCAGTATCACAACCATTGATGCCACTACCTCCACCACCACCACCGTCACTATCATTGTGTCGCCGTCACCACCACTACAATTAAGTCACCGGCACCACCACCATCGCCACAACTGCCCCTACTATTGTGTCGTCGCCACCATATGCATGTATGCATTTACATTCCATAAAAATGCATAAGTTTGGGTACATATTTATCAGACTACTGCCGATGGCAAGCATAAGTTTTTGAGTGCACAGATTATAAATTATTTTTGTACACAAATTGAGGAACACAACCCCATATATTTCCGTCGGGTTTCAAATCATTCCACTGCTAAATTGCCACGCAGCAATATATCTTATGACTTATGAGTGCTCAATTAACAACCCTTTCATATAGAAGAGAGTTCATAATTCACAACTAGAATTGTAAATGCTCAACTGCTTTATGCGAAGTTCTATACCCAAAATACCCTAGTTGGAATCATTCCCATGAAGCCAGAGTCATACGTATACCACTACTTGCATAATCCCATAAGCTCGAATAACATCTCCATATTTCAAATTCATTGCAATTTAATCCCATTAGAGCAAAGGATTACACGAATAACCAAATTTTCAACACACCTACTAATCGAGAGATATCATAAATTAAGAATCAGAATAATTTCGCTGAACTCTATGTCCAAAAAGTTTTAGGCCGGTGATTTTTCCCTATCTATAGTGTCCTAGCTTGATGTTGGTGTTATGGGTTGTTCCCATGGAAGTTGTGTTCATTTTTTTGATTGATTACACGGTATGTGCGTTGGATTTTTTAGTGATTAATTATCTGAGTGGTATCTCTTTATAGGTTTAGTTTGTGTTGCTTAAAAATTATGTGAATTGTGATTGTTGTGGTGGATTATCTAGAATAAGATGCCTTTGTTTATTGTATTGTTATGGATGTTCTAACTTGAAAAAAAAATGGATTATTGTTGTGGTGGATTTATTATGTTTTTGTATAATTATTTTGATAGTTGTATCACTTCCTCGTATCTTTCCTTATACTATGCTCCTACCTACAGAAAGTTATTTCCATTTCTTTAACTACAATTTGACTCATTTTATTTTTAATTACTTTGTGGCTCAATATGAATTTCATCTTGGCCATTCTTCATACACAATAGTCTTGATATGTTACAATAGTTTGTCTATGGCTGTATTAAGATAGAGTTGTGCCCTGATGGTGAGTCTGACAATTGGGTTGGATTGTAGAAATTACAAGTTATTCGTAGTATGAGTATGAAAATTGCTTATACGGGTTGATATTTTTTGGAATCCTATTTTTAATGAAAAATTTATCAAATTTTTAAAATTATTGGGCCCAATTTTTTATATAGTACTTGGTACAGGTTATTTCTAGTCTACTTAATAAAATAGAGCAAAGTTTGAATTTAAAAATAAAAAATTGTTGAGATTGTTTCATAATAAAATAAGACCTCATCTGACGGACTATTACAATAATCTCAAATAATTAATGTTTCAGATTATTTTGTAATTTATAATTCAACGCACCAAATTAATCCCTAAAAAACTTATTCTGTCAAATATTTTGAATCCTCTCAATTAAAGATCTATACGACCATTCTAAATTGACATTCTGCCACCTCAATTCACGCCTCTCTCTCCCTGTAACGTCACTCTATCTCCTCTTCATCCTTCGTGCTGGTCATCAACTAACGGCATTCAGATCCCCCGCCACCAGCAACAACGCCAGCCCAAATCGCCCAGCTAGCCGGTATTTTTCTCGCTCTGACCCCCCTCGCTCTGTTTCCCTCTCTCTCTCTCTAACTGTCTCTCCCACTTTCACCTTGCTGTCTTCTTCTTTCTCCCACTCTACTCTTTGTGCACTCACACCACCGTCACACACCACCCTTTCCTCCTCTCCCCCC